GGAAATCTACGTCCTAACTACGATGTCACCAGAAAATCCTTTTAACCCTATGCTCCAACCTTCCACGCCATTCAAGTGTAATTACATTTCATGGGAGGTGCACATCAGGTCACGTGGAAGGTTACGGCGTAGATTTCAGGGATTTTTCTCATCATGAATGTATTAATGTAGTTTAAAATGCTCTGCACAAACACTTTTTGACTCTTTTAGGCCACAGTAAAGTGATGCCAGCCAGAAAACAAGTGTTCCAGTATGTGTTTTTTGTGTTTTTGTGGGTTTTTTTCTTCTCTTCTTTGGTTCTTCAGTTGTATTTTAAAGATTCAGGGACAGGGGCAGGTTAGCTGAGAGTAAATGCTGTGCTACATTCATATCGCCCTACACATTAATGTCAAATAAATTAGATTAAGATTTGCAAGCTTAGCAAAATTAAGGCTATAAAAGATCCATAATGCAGCTCTGCATTTCAATCCTGTCAGAGAACAATCGCGGTACATTTAATACATGTAATTAATCGTCTTTTCCTTTCTTTTTTTAGGCTTGCTTTATATATTATACTTCATATTAAAGATTGACTTCAGCACCACAATCCAAAATATATGACTTTTAATTAAGCCTTTCTTCTCTGCGGGCTCTTTTGAAACACACAGAGTTGGTGTTTAGTTTGAAACGGAGACTCTGAGATCATGTTTTCCTTTTATAACGTCTCGTGTTTGCTTTAGATAACACAATCTGCCGCGTGCGTGTGTTTGTGTGTGTGTGTGAGACCCTTAACATTAATTTCCTGTTTAAATTAAACTGATCAGAGTCATGAGCTTAATGGGCACGTTCTCTTTACATTTCTGTCTCGTTGTCATCTTATCTTTAATGTTGTTGTGTACACGTTCTGTTATTTTTACAGCCTTTGCCCTTTATTTTCGCCCTCGTGACCCCCCTCCCCCCATGCTGTGAGTTAATGAGTTTTATAGTAATGCACAAAGCTGGCAGGTGAATGGATAGTTCTATAGAATAAAACACAAAAGCGGCTAAATAATCACCTACCATGGAAAATGCAGACAAAAGACGGCCAAGCTTCATTTCTCCAAATAACATGTTGTGTTTGTCTAAGTGAGACAGTCACTGGGTGTCACGTACGTTCACACAAACACACAAACGCATGACCTGCTGTCATCTATAACATAATCTGAAGATCCCACTTCCTCTTCCTCACATTTAACCTGATGACTGCCGGTGTCTCGTTTTTGTTGCAGTGATGATCGATTGATTAGTAAGAATGTGCAACTTTATGATTGGATCCCAAAAAACTAGTCATCACACACAGTACTGTGTAAAAGTCTTGAGCCACCCATTATTCTTTATGTTTTGGCAGGTGGATGATTTATTGAAACATACATGGATATACATATACAGCATATACAGTAAAAACAGAGCTTGTACTATTCTAACGAGCTTCAGAGTGAATATTAAGTATGAGTGCCTTTATTCTTCAGCTCTTTGTCAGCTCTGTGAGGATCTTCAGGATCAGTTCTCCAGGGTTCATGAAGGATGTTCAAAGCTCTTCTTTGGATGTTTCTGCCTTTTGTTCTGTTCTCTGTCAGGATGATCTCACAGAGATCTGGCTCTGGGGAGGCCCATCCATTACAGGAGAAGAGATCTTTGGTAATAAATGTGTTTGCAAGTAAAGCAGCGTTAAATGAACGTGAAGTGCAGTAAAGAGAAGGATGTTAAACGAGGCCAGGACTCGATATGAAAGGTGAAACTGTCAGACGCAGAGAGGGGAACAAATGAGCGAATAAATTAATTTGGGAGTGCTTCGTCTGTGAAATCGCTTTCTGTGGACTCCTCGCAGCCTCTCCGTGTCTCTGCACAAACTGCTGAGCAGAGAAATGCTGCAAACTCTGCTCAGCCTGCCGGAAGCTGTTTTTCTTTCATGATGGAGACACATGTAGTTTTTTTTTGTTTGTTTTTTTTGATGATGGGGACAAACTGGAGCTCAGCATCAGAAACAGTGGCATGTGCATGAAGCACAAACTGAGCAGCGTCTTCTGTTGTTCTGCATGTTTTGAAAGGAAAACTGCAGTTATTACTGGCGTTTTTGTAAAACACACACAGAAATTTTTACTTTAAAAGCCTAAAACATTTCAGCACTTTTTCACGGTTATTATCTTGTGTGTGCACAGCGGAGCTCGAAGTTCCAATGACACGTTGTAAAATGTGTCATTTTTTTCATTTAAACCTTCAAACTGTCAAACATGCCCTACCTC